GTGACTAGTCGACTATCAAAATAATCGTTTGTGGCAGCCCTAGTGTTCATTAATTTAAAAAGAAAAGTCTTAAAGGAAGTTGTAAAGATAAGTACTGACTAAGTACTTCCACGTTTTCATTCATGTCAGAAAGCAAAAACTCAGTTTCTTCATCCTCATCTGTTGACCGTTGTCTGTCTTTGTCCTCAGGCTTTGGCTTCACATCGAGCCTTTCTGCTCACAGCACGAGTCCCCTCTAAGGTTAGTGACCCCGTTCATCTCCACACTTTTTATTTCAATCTTTGTCTTTGTGTTTTGTGCTAAATCGCAGTCTTTAACACGCTTGTACCGGCTGAATGTCAGCCCGTTGGATCGGCCGCTGTCACAGAGAGCGTTTTGACTGGAGGGCAGCCTCGCCCCGAGCGTGACTATAGACTGTATTAATCTGTATTTCATCACAAAGTACAGCTATGTTTCTTATTAGTCACACATTACCTCCAAACACACCTTTGCTTTTGGGCACTTGGCTGTGTATTAACAGGATCTGTTTAACTATTATACTCTGGGGTGTTTTGATCACATGATTTGCCTTTTCATCCCGGACAGCTCCAGAACAGGTTGAGGTTAACATTCAGAAAAGTCCCCTGCATAAACAGTATGGTTCCCTGATAAAACACATTACCTTTCATGCATGTGCTCGTGGTTTTTATTGGTCATATTGAACGTTACAAACCCACATTTTTGCTTGATTTCTCCGTACGTCTGAATTGTCGCGTCTCTTCTCCCCGTTCTCTCGCTGTTTCCTGCATGTGCCTCTCTACACAGTTGAGCAGGTCTCAGCACCATATGGAGACATTTGATAGTTTTACCCACAATGCAGCTGTGAGAAATCAGCCTGTGGGAAAGAAAAACAGTGACAGGAAGAAAAGTTCGACCTAGAGGGCGAGAGGCAGGAATAGGAGAGGAAAAACATTCTGGAAAGAGCAGAAAAGTAAAGATGAACTATTTTCTTGAAGTCTTCAGACTGAGAAAGATACGAGGGATCGTGAAATAATTATGCTGCTTTATTTTTAGGCTGCCTGGGCACGATACGGAAGAGCAAACGTGACGTAAAACTAAGGAAAACTCCCCGTACTCGATCCCAAAACCCATTTTCAGCTGAATCCTGAATCTTTGTTTCCTCGTTTTAAGTTTAATAAACTGCTTTTAGAACTTGCAGCTCATCACAGTTCTGTATAATTAAAAAAGAGAAGTAGCTCTGTGGTTAAACACAGTTTCCACGATGCTTCCTTTTTGGTAGCATCTATTTTCATTGCTCCCTGGTGACTCTCGAGGGGTTTTTTTTCTTTTTTGGGGGCTTCTTAGCAATGAGTGTGTGAATCAGGCCAGACAGAGACATAAAGTCTGATTCAAAGTGAAACTGAGTCCTGGGACTTTGCTCAAACTAAAACTAAATGGCTGTTTGGCTCCAAAATGTCAAACACAGAATCGTGACCCCAGAAACGATGTATATGTTGGAAATATGGCACATAATCATGGAAATCTCAGTCATATATGGTGTATAGACGAAGATCTAAGCCAAACAAGAAGATGAACACAGACACCACAGAGAAACAGAGCCCTGCTAATCGTTGCTGTCAGGGATTCCCTTATGACGGGATAATAGTTTTGTCTAAGCAAATGTTGTCTTTGATTATCAAATGACTGAAATAAGACTTTGTAGTTCAATGAGTTTAAAGCAGGCACTTTGTTAGCCGAGCGACTTTATTGGAAGCCACAGTAGAGGCCCCATGTTGGCACTTAATGAGTAAATTATGACTGAAATTACGTATCACGCCTGTAAAAATCCATAAAATGTGAAAAGCAGAGCAGAGTTTAACTTATTTGAAGTTTCTTTAATCAAAGTTTGGACCTGTGGAG